TTTCTTGAAACAGGATCTCTAGTTGGCCAAGGCAGGCCAGTCACTCATGATCCTCCTTGCTTACATCTAATGCTTCCAGAATGCTCTTTTTTGTTTTGATTGAGGGAGGTGGGGATGAGGATGATGGGGTCTCATGTTTTCCAGGCTGGCTGGAACTCATCACATAACCAAGGATGACCTCGAATGTCTGGTCTTTCTGCCTCCACCTCCCAAGTGCTGGGATTACAGGCATGTGCCATCACACCTCATTTCATGCAGTGTTGGGGAACTGAACTCAGAAATCCCTGCATGATAAATAAGCATTCTACCATCTGAGCAACACATAACCCTTTTTAAATTCTCAGAATATCTGCCAATTTTCAAACCTCCCACTGACCTGACAGTTAGTTGTTTTGTTGCACATGCTACTTCGTGACTCTAATAGAAAGCACGTGAGTTAGCCACTCCATAGGGAAGGGGCTGGCACTGGGAGAGAAGCCAGATCTGGAGCACTTCACTGATTCCCAGACTACATTATCAGCACTGCTCCCGCTTTTGCAAGGACGACAGACTAGTACCCCCTGCTGGTCTTGCCAGGTAAGACAGGAGACTCACTAAAATACCCACCCTAAAATGAAGAGCTCTGAAAGAATCTTTTTCCTTTCTTTCTTTCTTTCTTTCTTTCTTTCTTTCTTTCTTTCTTTCTTTCTCTCTTTCTTTCTTTCTTTCCCACAAGCAACAATTTTTTTCAAGAGAATCTTATTAAATCCAGGAGTGGTATCACACACCTTTAATGGTAGTGCTCAGGTGCTGAGGCAAGAGGATCACAATGAGTTACAGGCCAGTTCCAAGACAGTGTGTGCGCTGGGGGATGGGGCGGGGACAAGGGATGAGGACAGGATCTTGTCAGATTCCCTACAGAGCCTAGCACATAATTCATAATGTATGAATTATCACAGGGCCTCAGCTGTGCAATATGAAGACAGATGTGCGGATGATGTGAGGGTCAGGGTAGAACTAACTTGCATAACCAGGGCTTCACAGGAAAGGTCACAGGAAGACTTAGTCCATCTAGGGAAGAAGGCACCCACAAAACAGAACAGTCTTGTGTTCCAATTTAAACCCTCTGGAATTTGCTCTCTCACTGGGCTACTTGTAAAAATACAACATGTAGAGTGTTTTTCTCCTGGGGAAACAGGTAGAAAAAGAAAAGGTTTAAAAAACCCCTTTCTCCATTTCCTTCTGAAAGAGAATGAAAAGGTGTTTCCCCCATTTCTAACTGGACCACCCTGGGCCTCTGGGTCACTGGGTCACCTGGGGTGACTTCTTTCTTGGCGAGGGAAATCCTGTGCATAGTGGATTCTCACGATAGTACTATGTTTTGAAAGCACGAAATGATCAAGCCTTAAAGGTTCTGACTCAGCTGGAGTCTGAGGCCTACACTCCTCACTCAAAAGAAAACAAGCTTCCTAAGTGCTCTTGTGGCCGAGATTATCAAAGGAGCCCGGGGCCTCGTGACACTGACTGGCTCCTTGCTTTTCATGTTGTGGTCCAGGCACCTCCTCAGAAGCCTTTGGGAGGTACCATTAGTGATAGAAAGATAGAAACCATCTGCTCTTAAAAACCAAACCAAACCCCAAACAATAAACGGCACTGCACATTAAGCAGGCAGGTGGGGAAAGAAGACAATTGGGAGCACTTGGTTTACTTCCTCCACCACGTGGGCCCTGGTGATGGCACTCAGGCCATCAAGCTTGGTTGCAGGCCCTTTTACTCTTGCTCGCTTAATTCTTGTACCTTTAATTTTTAATTCAACTTTCCTTTCCTCTGTTTTCTTTCGGACTTGGTTAACAGTAACTAAAACAGAGTCAGACAGCTGTACAACTTTAAGGACACATAAGCTGGGTGTGTGTGATGGTTTGATCCTGTAACCCCAGCATTTGGAGGCCGGAACAGGAAGATGCCATGAGCTCAAGGTCAGTGTAAAACCCTGCCTCCCAAAAGAAATAAACACATAAAATAAAGACATCTGGCCAAAGAGTTCTGTCCTTGGTCCACAACAACAACAAAACAGCAGGAGGACTGTTACTAGTGGTATGATGGTACACGTCTACAATCATTCTGGCACTTGGAGGCAGAAACAGGAAGATCACAGCAAATTCATGGCTAGCCTGGGCTACAGAGTAAGACCCTGTCCAAAAAAGCAAAACCAAAAGGAAATTTCACTACATTAACTCTTTGGATCAGAACTATCATCGCCATGTTATAGACCATAAAGACCACTAGCCTATGTAGATATGCATGTATCTACATGTGTACATAAGCACAGCATGCAAGCGTTTGCAAGCCAGCAGATATCACTTAGTATTCTGCGGGACTCTCTGGTATCGCTATAATTCAACAGGAACATAAAAGCAGAACATGAAAGTAACAAAATCTATGGCCTGCATCCTCCATTCTTTTTGAAGGGCCAGCTTCAACTTGACATATTCTGGCTTCAGTCTCTCCGGTGCTGCTGGGAAGGCAGGCACACACTGCCACACCCTGCACTCTAGGCTTACTCTAAGGTTCAAACAGATCTGTGTGAACACAAAAGCTGTTTGGGGAATCAAAATCACAAGTATTCACACAGGACAGAATCACATTAAGTCGACTGTTCAGAAGGAGGGAAACACAGGAGAGGGGCACAGATCACCTTACAACCCCACAACATTCAAAGCTTGAAATATACACAACCTTCAGTGGCTGTCACAGCTACATCCTCCAAAAAACACAAGGACAGAAAACGGAAGGGTGAGAAAATTCAAGGATGAAAACTCAGCATGCTTAGGACTGGAACCCAGGACCGCACTGCGAATCCCAGGACCGCACCCAGGCTCTTCGCGATGTACATCTTCTCTGTGGTGTGTTCTAGACAGACCTAACCCAACTGCAGCACACCATCTGTCTCCCCTCAGCAGTAACTCCTGACTCAGGCAAGGAGAACCTGCGTGGCAGCAGTCCTCTGATGCAAGGAATAGGCTGTTCTCAGCCAAGGTCAGAGTACTCATAAAAGCCATATGCTTCAGGGCATGGCAGTATACACCTGTAATCCCAGCTCTCAGGAAGCTAAGGCAGGAGGAGCTCAGATTCAGGCCTGACCAGGCTCTAATGGCAAGGCCATCTCAAAAAATGTAATGAAAAATTAAACCATAACCAAAGCAAAAATAAAATACAAACCAGCTGTGTCAGAGATAAAGGGAATCAAAATCCAAAAAGGACTGCTCCCTCCTGGGGATGAGAAAGTGCTCTGGGAGGACTGGCTATGCCTGGGTTCCCACAAGCTATTTATTTTGGGTTTTGTTTGGGCATCAGGGTAATAGCAGGGCTGAATGATGCTCTGAAGAGATGGGACAGCAGTTCAGTGTCTCACAGGATGGGTCAGGTTTCATCTCAGTTTGGGGGTTTCTGGGTCCTAAGAGCCATCTTCAGTGTAGGAAGGTTTGGTGGCTCCCCATCTCTGTAACCGAGGCAGCCACTGTTCTCTTAGGGCAGTACCTTCAAAGCTCTGGGTAGCAGGGCCAGACACACCTATATCACCTGGTCTTATGACCCTCCAAACCTGTCTAATTTTTTGGTTAATGTGTACAAGTGTTTTGCCTGCATACATGTGTACCACATTCAAACTGGCCACAGAGGCCAGAAGAGGGTGTGAGTTATAGACAGTTGTGAACTACAATGTGGGTGCTAGGAACTGGACCTCTAGAGGAGCAGCCAGTGCTCTTAACCACTGGGCCACCTCTCTAGCCCTGCCTCCCCCATTTAAAAGCTGGTGACAGTGGAGGACTGTGGCACTAGGTGTACAAGAAGGAATGGGGACAGTGTCTGGAGCCCACTCCGCTCCATAATCCCCATTCTGGCTGGTTTGGGGTTAAGATACAGAAAAATCCATCAGTTTTTACTGGCCATGGTGCTTTGGAGGTGGATGGAAAGCAGGATTTTTACCAAGTATGGCAAAGTCTCATCTGTATGCAGGAAAGGAAAGACACGGTTAGCTGTCCGAGTCAACATGTTTCTTGGGTGAGTTTTGGGTTCGAATTATGGTTTTTACCCAGATTCTAGGACCCTTGAAAGTAAGTTCCCATCCGACTTCCCCATAGGATATATACCCTCAGCTGACATACAGCATGTTAAGAGCACAATTCTGACAAGTGCTTTAGAAGTGTGCCTTTTCCACACTTTCATTTTAAGATTTCTAAAGCAACAGTCTCCCCCCCCCCCAAAGTGTTACATACATACTCACATACACTTTAAGACAGTCTTATTATATTATGTATCCTTGGCTAGACTGGAACTCACTACGTAGAATGAGCTGGCCCTGAACTCAGAGATCCGTGTATCCGTGTGCCTATACCTCCCGAGTGCTGGTATCCAAGGCATGAGCCACTATATCCAGTTGCACTACATTTCTGAAAAATGAGCTCAGCAGTCTTCCTGCTTGGTTACTTTAATGTTACATGACAGATGAATTAGATATCTGACAACTTACAGAGAAAAACTATTGCCTAAGCCAATTAAGTGTACATTAGGTCAGTAAGATGGTTCAGTCTTTATTGTCAGCTTGATTAACAATCATGAAAACACTCCTCTGGATCTGTCTATGAGGATGTTTCCAGAAAGGTGTAAGCAGGAAGACCTGCCCTGACTTTGGGTTATCTCCATCCTGTGGGATGGGCACCTGGAGCTGAGCAGCATCATCTCTCTGCTTCCTGTCTGTGGATGCCATGTGACCCCATGTGACCAGCTGCCACCGCAAGCTCCTGCCACAACATCCATACCCTCAAACTATGAGACAAACCCATACTCCCTCAGGTGTTTTTGCTAGAAATTTTGTCACCAACAAGAGTGAGCAACATGCTATTTGCCATTACTGGTCCGAATCCAGTTCCTCAGAGCAGTCTGCAAATTCTTCCCCTTCACCCAGTGAGCACAAAAGCCAGATGGTTTAGAGTAGGCAAGACGCACAGCTTCTGAGAAGCGAATCGCTAGCATGCATTTATTTATTTATTCAAAGTAAAGCTACCTTACAGCAATGGAAGCATGAGTGAAAGCTTGCTGACTCTGGAGGCAACTTAACAGACCCTCTGCTGTTAAAGGTACAGAAGCTTGACTTTCCGAACAGCTGTTTCATCTCAGCATTTCTTGTATATGTTTTTGTGTGGTGCCTGGAATCAAAGGGTCTGCAAAATAAAAAGATTTTAGTGTTGGGCTCATCATTAGAAAAGAGCAAGCCACAACAAAACTGACTGAGAAGGAAGATACTGAGCAGTGGCCTGCCTGACCTGTCTTCCTGTTTCCCACTGAGCCACGATTTACTAGACTCCACTGCTCACTTGTGTGAACTTTCCGATTTTACAATTACTCCCCAGGATGCAAACGGGTCATCTCCAGCAACATTACTAGTAACTTGAGGTTTTGTAGCAGTACTTAGTGTCCAACAGAAACCACTCCGTCTGCCAAACAATATCTTGACTGCAAAGCTTCTCTGACTGTTGGTGGATCGACAATGACACGGCACAGCCATTATCACCGTGGCAACAGTACCCAGGAACTATCAGAGGAAAATTGCACATGGAACCGCTGGCCCTTGAGCAGGCATGCCTCAGCTTCCTCTGGAGTATGCTTTCTCTGCAAGTCTGGTGTGCTCTAGGGTACCACCAACCCAGTGCAGGGCCAAGACTACAGATCAGACAGCATGCCACCAAATCCTGGTGCTACCAGTAAGAGCACTTACCGTGTCTAGAGCTCTGTTTTGGGGGGCAAGTGGGTGTCAAGCAATATAGAAAACGAGAAGCAGAGCATGCAACAGGCAGGCCTTCTCTCTCTTCTGCACCAACACAAGCAGGCGTGCCTGTACATTTGGTGCAAGAACTCCACCCAGTGGCCATCTTCACCTGCTCTGAAATTCACCGACAGCACACCCTTTTATTATTACTTGTGTGCACGTGCTGGTGGAGTTCAGGACATTGCTTACACTAGTAAAGTGATGTGCTACTGAGCTATCTCCTCACATGCTGTTTTCTTTCCTCTTTAAAACGGTTCGCTATATGGCCCCGGGCTCGTTTAGAACTCTTCAGTTCAACAGCTTCTGGAGTGCTGGCATTGTGCAGACAACGGCCACGGGGCCCGGCGACCATCATCTCCTAGTTGTTTCAATAAACCTTCCTGACCCCGCTACAGATCATACAGACACATAATAGTTATATTTTTAAACCAAAAAAAAAAAAAAAAATCATCCTAGAGCAGGAATCCCACGCGAGGCAGCAGGGCACGGCGTGGCTGGCGCCCCGGGGAGGCCAGGACACGCCGAGTTCGGGGCTCACCTCAGCGGGTGAGGCGCGGATGCCCACCACCTCCCTGGTGCACGCCATCGCAGAACTACCGGCCGCGTTACCGTAGGGGGGGGGAATCTGCCGCCAACGGAACCGGAAGTTGCGTCTGGAAGTCCCTCTTTTCCGGCGGGCCGCGGGCCGCAGAAGCCCCGCCTAACGCCGATCCTGTCATCCCCTAGTATCCGGGAAGGCCTCCCCCGCCCCAGTGAAGAAAGTCGTCTTCCTGTAGTCGCGCCTCCGGAGGGCCTTCATTATGACCTGATTGACGTCCAGCTTGTCCAATCAACACTCAAAGCGGTCGTCCACACTCGCTAGCAAGCCTGTAGGACGTGGTTTCCAGGGACGGCCCACCGCTACCGTCTAGGCAATATGATTGGTGAAATCGAGACGGTATTGTCCAATCACGAGCCTTAGCCCAGAGCCTGTCCAATGAGAGCCTTCGGTGGGCCGGCCGGGCACCGCGGCCTCAGTAAGCCCCGTGTTGGCCGCATAGGCGGTGGGCAGCGAGCCGGCATGAGCGCGTCCCTGAGCCGGGCGGCGGCGGCTCTGCTGCGCTGGGGTCGCGGCGCGGGCGGCGGTGTCGGCCTGCCAGGGGCCGGCGCGCGGGCGGCGAGCTCGGGCGGTCAGGCAAAGCAGCTGGACGCGCTGGTGAAGAAGGACAAAGTGGTGGTGTTCCTCAAGGGGACGCCGGAGCAGCCCCAGTGCGGCTTCAGCAACGCCGTGGTGCAGATCCTGCGGCTGCACGGTGTCCGCGACTACGCGGCCTACAACGTGCTGGACGACCCGGAGCTGCGGCAAGGTCAGGCCCGAGGGAGCCGGCGGCGAAGGGCGCGGGGGACGCGAGCGGATCGCCGGGAGCGAGGGCCCTGAGGGTGTAGCCGCCTGGGCTGGAGGGTCGCCTCGCCTGAGCCTCGGGGAGAGGTTGTCTCGGGCTGCGTCCGAGGAGGGTGGTCAACAGAGTGACCCTCTCACCGGGTCGCCTGGTGAGTGGCAGGCTGAGAGGGGGACTCGCAGCGATTGCCCGCGACTTGTCGGCACATTTGGGGACACTCTGAGGGGCTTGGAAGCCAGCGGCCTACTTGCTAGGTGAGGGGCTTGTTGCCGGTGTGTGCCTAACGAGGTCAAAGGTTGGCCCCTAATGTTTAAGGCCCCGGGTGTCAGGGACTGTCTTCCTGCTGCAGAGAGGGTTTCACCGTGGTCCATGTTGGGATCTGATTTGCGGGGGGGAAAGACAAGAACTTTGTTTTTTAGAGACCGTAGCACAGAAGGGCAGGTGTGTGAGGGCTGGGGCTTGGGAGAGGCTCAGCGGGAAGAGGAAGCCACAATGACTTCTGACAGATTAACAGACTGCCGCAAGGTTGGAGCCCAAAGGGCAGAGGACAGAACAGCCAGACCTGTAGCTTTTTATTGACCCTGAGACGAAGAGACTCGGTCCTGATGTCTGGTTGACAAGCAGAGTCCTTAGCACCTCACTCTCAGTCTTAACTGCTTAACTGCTTTGTCAAGGTGGGCGGAGTGATGGGGAAAACTGCTGCTGAAAGGTGACTTTTCTGTGTCAGAATGAGGTGTGCGATGTTTGAAGTTACTGACTATAGTCTTGCTTCCTGTGGTCATTCTTGACGTTGAGGAGCCAGGCAGGGGCTGTGGAGAGTAGATTTTGCTTGGAATCGTCCACGGTCGGTCTGCAGTACAACCTAATCTTCGTTTCCTTCTCAGTAAAGTGAAGACTATGACACCGAACCTGGCAGAGTCCACGGGAAAACAAGAGAAAACAAAAATTATAGCTAGGCATAGGAACTTACTTCTGTAACCCCAGCACTCTGGAAGCCGAGACAGGAGGCTCACTGGTTCAAGGCTACACTGCACTGCATTGTGGGAATTCTCCATCTCCTTATATACTGTATAAAATGTCCTTTTCTCAGGCACAGAAGGTACCCACTAAATGGCAGCTACTTTATTATGAAACTCGATGGCTTTCAAAGTACTTTTCTCTGTGTTGTCGAAAGTGGCTGACCTTACATTTATTCCCTACAATAATATTGAGAGGCCAAACTCTGAAGTAAAGCAGTGAAAGGAAGGCCAGTTAATCCTATCAGGAATAATGGCAAGCCATGCATTTTGCTCAGAACCCTGTGTTTTCCTCCTCAGCTAAAAATTGGCAGCTTGTGAGGCTCTGGGGTTATCGGGCTCGGGGCACGCTGTAGTTTTGGGTCAGGGGTGGTTCCTTGCTGAGGAAGATAAGCAACTACTTTGCAGGCCCCGAACTAGGACCTTATCAGCAGTTGTTCTGCAGGCATGACGCTTAGCAGGCAGTTGCATTGCTGATATCTTGCTTAATATGAAATCTGAGGATCTTTGGTTTAGAATTTAAGTTCCCCTGTTTAGTGTAACTGGGGGTTATATATAATGGAATACAGCTAATATGGGTACCAATTGCAGGAAGGTGTTCTGCCTTCCATCTCTCATGCCTGGCATCTGATCTGTGCCATTAGGTGCTCAAATGACAGAAGAATTTAACCCGTGCATTTTGTTGTTGTTCATTTTTTATTTTTTATTTAATTTATTTTTAGACAGGCTAGCCAAGCTGGTCTAGAACTTACTATATGGATCAGGTAGCCCAGAACTTGAATTGATCCTCCTGTTGCTCTAGTGCTGGAATTATAGGTGTCAACTGTCATGCCCAGACACAACCCTTGACTGTTGATTTCATTGGCTTGTTAGTTTGGTTAATAAGTGTGTGATCCAAACAACTAAACACGTGTCTCCAATGGCTTAGAAAAGTGAAGGTTAGTGGAAGGACTGACATTTGGACTGGGCAGGGAGCTGTGTGTGCCCTCCCACCCCCTTGGGGTCTTTGATAGCCACAGGTTAGGCCTCTACAGTGTGGAGACTCTTCAAGTCCTTGTTTACACCCTAACTTTGCTGAGGGGCAGGCAGGCAGCTCATGTTTGCTTTGCCAGGCAAGGAGGAACCCTCATAGCTCTTCTCCTGCAGTGGGGGGGGGGGGGGGGAGGGTGCTATAGCATCGGCCCTTCCTTTTCTCTTGTGCCAGGGTTTTACAAAGGGCCCTGGTTCTTACCCAGGGTCCAGGAAGTGTGTGCAGAGGTGCTTTTTGGCCCTCCCTTTTACTACCTGGGGCACACACAGGCCACAGCTGCGGGACTCTGAAGGAACTTAGGGCACAGTGCTGCCTCGTGCTGCCTCAGGCAGGCTTGTTGCTGCAGGCACTGCAGCAGGTGTTCTGTGACGATGTTAGGACTAGGGAGAGACTAGTGTTACTCACGGTCATGTCACAGTCACGTGACTTCTGTGTGCGCGCCGACAGTCCTGAGTTCCATCTGCACGTGCTTGTGATATCAGGAACAGGGTCTGCCAGAGTAGGGGGTTGAATGTTGCTGAATTTATAACTCTTACCTTGTGTCTTTTTGTCCTTATAGCTTGGAAGCTCTTTGATGCATAAGGCTATGTGGCATTGCCATACGTGTGTACACTGTGTAATGCCGTCAGAGTAGCTGGCCTGGCTGTCACTTTGGACATGTCTGTGACTCGTGGGACATTTGGAGTCTTCCCTGCTGGCTGCTGATTTTTGTCTCCCATGGGTTTCTCACTGGCTGTCATGTATATTAGAAGCTCTTCTTTTGAGTTCCACTGTGACCCACCAGTGAACTCTTTTCTTCAGCCCCTTCTCCCAGTCCACAAGTGTTTATGAAGCAGTGTCTGGGCATTCAAGGCAATAGTTGGGTACTTACTACCCCGGTGAATATTGGAGGTTGGATACTCACTTAATGTGTGTGCATTTCTGTGGGCCAAGCCATGTACTGTGGGCATCTGGCACCAGCACTGTGGAATTGTAACGTGATAGTCAGTGTGTTGGAGATGAGCAGAGCTGCTTCTTCTCTTCTCCCACAGAGCTAGTCTAGGGTGGAGACAGACTTCCTCTGTTGCTCTGTTGTTGGAGGGTGAAAGTGGACTTGGATGCTGTATAATCAGTGAGCAAGCTGAATTTAATAAAACTTTATTTGCAATTGGGTGGCGGCAGCTCACACATTTAGCTCCAGCCCTTGGGAGGCAGAGGCAGGCAGATCTCTTGAGTTCCAGGCCAGTCTGATCTACAGAGTGAGTTGCAGGACAGCCAAGGCTACACAGACAAATCCTGTCTCTGAAGGGAAGAAAAAAAAAAAAAAGACGTTTAAAACTTAATTCCCAAAGGCAGGGAGAAGCTTAGCCCTAAGCTGGCTTATCTAGTGCCCCAGGTCCAGAGAGTCCCACAGGATAAGATACACATGTAAGGTGCTCGTGACAACGTGGCTCGTGGTGGGGGTGAACGCAAGTAGCAGACTGGATTGGCAGATGGTATTCGGTGCTGTAGGGAAAAGCTATACTGTGCTGAAAACAAACTAGATCTGGGTTTGCTTGACATGGCCAAACATCAGAAACAGATTTGGTCAAAAGGAAGTGGCAAGGAATACTGATGGCACAATCCCGGCTGTGAATGCTCATGTCAGAGGTGTAGGTCAGTCCCATGTGCTGTACGTGCGTGTGCAGTGAACAGGTAGCTGAGGGCAGGACAAGTTATGGTGAGGCACTGGGTTCCGAGGCTGGCTTTCGATTTTAGAAACCTAGATGCTGTCCTGGACCCACCACACGCTAACTCTGTGACTTCGGTTAAGTCACCTTCTCTGACCCCTAACTTCATCTGTGAAACAGGGATAATTATATCAGATGTCTCTATTGGTTAAATAGGATTATTTATGGAAAGTGCTTAAGGAGCATGAAGTGAAGTGCCATAGCCCTGAGCTCTGCAAATGCTACTTTCCTGTTAGTGCATGGAGAGGCAGCATGCTTTCGCTTTGCAGTCCAGGAAACTGAGGATGGGAGACTTTGACACCTCTCTGAGGTTGGTTGCATCTAAAGGCCAGTGAGCCTGCTTGGCTGATGTGTGTGCCTGAGCCTTGTCTGTCCAGCCTTTGCTGTCCTCTCCCGAGGCTCTGTGGTTTCCATGCTGAGGTCCAGTCTCCAAGGTGGGAGAAGTGAAGGAAATGTAACCCTAGGGTGTGACACACCAAGCCCGAGATCAGAGAGCTGGTATGGGACTCTGGGAATCACTCCACCGTGAACTTCATCTACAGATACGACAATGTTTTCCTAAAATGAGCTCTACGGGTCGTTGTTGTGTTTAAGGGTTAGTAAGTGTTTAGGTGTTTAATAGACCTTTACTCACTTTGTTCCCTAAGAAGACTCAGGTATCACTTGACCTATTGAAACTCACTAGCGAGGGCATGTGGCCCACACCTGCATGTCCGGCACTCTGGAGGCTAAGGCAGGAGTAACTCTGCAGGCTTTGAGGCTAGCTTGGGCTACATATGGATGGAGTTCCAGGCCAGCCTGGGCTAAACCAAAAGCAAAATAAAAAACTTCCCAGCAAGCAACAATAGTAACAACAAAAGTAACCCCGATGACCCATCAGCTTTGGGCACCTTGAGTCCTGCCAAGATGCTGCCATTTGTCCTTGTGGAGAGTTCTTGAAATGTCAGCCAGAAGGCCAGACAGTTGAGTTTGCGGTGGGGGGGGGGGGGGGGATGTGACAGTGCCTGGTCTGAGAGCCACTTGTTGGCAGCTAGGTGGTGGGTGTTCTGGTGGAGGACTCCAGTTACACAGTCCTCAGTAGAAGAGTCTTCCGTGTGGGACCAGGCAGGCAGGGCTTGAATGAAGTGAGGTGGTATAAAATTGCCACCCTGTGGCCAGCCAGCTCCCAGCTTCCTCCACCATGACCTCCTGCCTTAATAGACTGTATCCAAGGGCACTGGAAGCCAAAGCAAGCCCTGTCTCTCTCGGGAATAATGATGGTGGAAAAACAGTTCATTCTTTTCTCACAAAGATTTTACTAAAACCATGACACTTTACAGTTTAGTGTGGTTTGGGGCGGCCCTCAGGCAGCAAGTGTATTTTCATTTTGATGTGTTTCAAAGCAGTGGGTCCTCAGCAAAAGTAATCAGCAGGGTTCCTGGGGAGGAAATTAGAGTTGTGAAACACAGAGATGACATGCTCAGGAGTGGTCCGCTTCAGGAGACCCAGAAGAGCCTGTGTTTATGTAAGTCTTCATTCCCACACCTCACCCTCCTCCAGAAAGATTTGCAACTGATCCATAGGCTGTTGGCCTTTGAGGGTCAAGGTTAAAATGCAAAGATCCACACGACTTCCATGCTGAGTGGTTGTTAAGGGCTCACCCCACACCAGTGTGGTGAAAGCCTTGGACTTAGCAGGTAGCTTTGTGTGCTGGATACCGATATTGTGGAGAGTGGTAGGATTTGCCCTCTACTGGAGCCCCTCCCCTTCTTGGGAAGGCCTCTCTGTGAAGCCCGGACAATCTAAGCTGATTGCTGGCTTTCCATGTGTGGGCCACCACACCCACCCAGCGTTCCCTGTCTGCAGAAGCAAGATAAAAGCTGTAACCTAGGGTCCCTCCAGCTCTGTCATTCACAGCAACTCTGTGTTTCAGACCATTGTGATGTAACTCAAATTTGGTGACTTTTTTGGAAAAAAAAAATATTGAATGATATGTTAGTAAGAACAAGTCTTGTGCTTTAGTTATCTACATAAGAAGCACTGCGGCTGGTTTTTAGATTGGTGTACTATTGTATTTTTTTGGAAGCACCTGCTCACTTATTTATGTATTTGCATGCTCATTTTTGCCATTTAGAAACACCTGCCTGTAGTATTTATACCTTTGTTAATTGTTGGTGAATTGAACTAAGTGACTCACACTAGCCAAATGCTCTACTACTGAGCTATATTCCCAGCCCTTCAAATACTTGTCATTACATTTATCTTGTGTGTATGTGTGTGTGAGTGCACACGCACACACAACACACAATGACACCTGATACTAATCACTGCGTGCTATATACTTGTGTTTGTCACCAGCTCCATTCAGGGAGCTGAGAACCTGGGGCTTAGGAGTTGCAGCCATAGACCAGGGTTTTCTGTTTTCTGTGCCTCTCAGTAATCCTCAAAGGTAGAATGCACTCAGCGTCTTGAGTATAGGTCAGTGGTAGCCTTCATGGTCAGAACTACAGAAAGAAGGCAGAGATGGGGTCATTCGATCAGCCAGCTCCACATTTCACAGCACATTTGGGAGTGAAGCTGTGACATTTCTTTCCTGAAAACGTGACCTGAGTGGATAATTACAGCTTTTCCTGTCTCACGGGCCTTGGTTAATCTCATTCCCTGGTGTGAGTCTCCTGGCTGGTATATCTGTATTACTAAGAGCCTCACCTGATTCTCATGAAAACCTCAGGGGCTGAAGGTTGAAAGAAAAGCTGTGTTTTGTCAAGTGATGTGCTGTCTATTTGGCTTTGAAACTCATCACTATCCAGGAGTGAGGGACACTTAGGGAGGGGCCTCAGTCTCTGCCAGGAGTTGGGGGTGTGGCATTTGTGGTGGATTCTCTCGCTTCTGAGCATTTCAGTGACACATTTCCCATCTCTCCACAGGTATTAAGGACTATTCCAACTGGCCGACCATCCCGCAGGTGTACCTCAATGGCGAGTTTGTGGGGGGCTGTGACATCCTTCTGCAGATGCACCAGAATGGGGACCTGGTGGAGGAACTTAAAAAGCTGGGGATCCGCTCTGCCCTTTTAGACGAGAAGGACCAAGACTCAAAGTGAGGGCTCCGGGTCCTTGCTGAGCAGAGCGCCCACCTTCAGTTGCCGCCAGAAAAGCCTTACTACGTGGTGTCTGTTGCTGTGGTGCTTGCGATGGGCCTCCTGGCTTGCAAGCAGGCAGGTGCTTTTTCTTTGGTCTTTGGCTCAGAATATCCTACGGTGAATTTATAACGACTGCACTGTAAATTGGCATTGTAATCCGGTATTGCTGTAACCCAAATCTGTTCTTACGTTGTCTTTTATTCTCTGCTGGGTTCAGGAGTCATTCCTGACTCGTATGTGGGTTGGGTTGTAAAGATGGCAACTGCCCTGATGTTTTTGTAACTTCTCCTATAAGGGAAATGATGGACAGAAAAGAAAAGGAGATGTCTGGAGTGTTGTTGTTTTTTAAATAAATTGCCAACACAGACCATGTGTGTGTGAGTAATTAACCCCAGCAGGTACAGATCTGTAGGATGTCGAGAACTAGCTGTCTTGTCTTTGTATTTTCTTCATTCTCTCTCCTACCCTTTGCTTCTCATTTCCTGCCTTCTTCTCTCTTCCCTATCTCCCCCCCTTTCTGTACATTCCAGGTTGGCATTAACTCATCATATAGCCAAAGGTGAACTTGACTTTTAGATCCTTTTGCCTCCACCTTCCAAGTGCTGGGCTGTCAACCATCTGCTACCGTGGTGCTGAGGTTGGAATCCAGGGCGGTGTGCATGCACACACTTTACAGCCCTGGGCCTTACCTGAGCTAGGTGGTGATGCTGTTCTGGGCTGGAGGGATGTAGAGGTGAACACCCCTCACGCCCCTCTAGATAGGGAGAAGGCACCAGCTGGCCTCTGAAGCATGTTTTTCCTCATGAAATGGGGTCTCAGAGGAAATAATTGGAACGATGTATGTCTTCCAGGACAACGTCTTGGTGGGACTTGCCCAGGGCTGATCCATGTAGAGACTGGTGTGGAGGACCCAACTCCTCACCCCCACCTGTGGGACACTGCTCTCCCTGTGTCTGGCTCTGCCAGAAGCCACGTTCCATCTCCAGGGGCCAGACAGAATTGCCTAGAAGTCACAGAGGCAGCAGGCAGGCAGCCTTTTCCCATGAGAAGGGCACAGAGAATGAATATCGACCCCCCAGAAGCTGCTGGAGGGAAGCTTTGTGTATGTAGACATCTTTAGCTCCACTTCATTCCTGAGGTAGAGTGGAAGGAGGGGTGGGCTTTCCTGCAGACACCTTCCTTGCAGGCAGGGTCTGCTGGGCCCCCAGGGTTTGGTATTCTCCAAGAAGGAAAGGAAAGCTGCAGCCCAAGGCTGAGTCCTCTATTTCACTAGGGACCCGTGGGTTAGACCAGAGGGTGACAGCCCTCACCAGTGACTAATCTCCAGGCTGTAGGGAGAAGAAAAGGCATGTTAGTCTGTGAAGGTTTGCACTGTATTAATTGTACACTCACCTCCTTTGAGCCTGCATGGATTCCTCATAGAGCTTGCAACCTCCTGGAAGCCTTTTGTTTAGCAAGTAAGGAAGGAGCCCCGGAAGGAAGGCTGCTGGCAGCCCTGTCCCTTAACAAGTGGCTCTCCTGCCTGCACAGGCTGTGGAGAGCACACACATCAGTCTGTGGCTATTACTTGCTGTCATATGAGCTGTGGAGTAAGTTGCTTTTTCCCATTTTGGCTTTTTCCAGTATTCCTTAAGGCTCACTTGGAAAACACCGGAGTGATAAAAAGAACGTATTAGCAAAACAGCTAATATTCTCCCTAGAATATTAGCTGGACTCAAATAGGCTGCCAGGGGACTGATCCTGCTCAAAGCTTGTGAGTCAGTGAGACCCCATAGAGTCACAGAGTGTGTGCATCGGAAGCCCTGTAAGATGGGATGCTCTTTCCAGAGGTTAATTAAGAGTGCTTTCTGTAGGCTTTGCACACCATAACCCAGTAGAAAATTGAAGATGTTACCTCATGTGAATCCGAATAACTCTTGGTCCAAATAATTACAGTTCACTGTGAGGATTAACTGACACAGAAGCTCCTTGCACAGACAGCGTTACACCAGCCCTCTAGCCACATTAGGTAGCTCCACAGATGCCCCGTCCTATGGAGTCAAGTTAAAGGCGGTTGTGAGCCACCAGACTTGGGTGCCAGGAAACTGAACTCAAGTCTTCTAGAAGAGCGGTACTCTCTTTTGACTGTGGAGCCATCTCTCCAGCCCCAAAATGAACATTTTTACTTGAGGTGGTTTTTGTCAGTGTCATAGACTGGTAGTCACATGAATGTCATTCACCTTTATTTGAACTATAACTTTTAGGATAAAAGGTACCTTTGTGTTTGTTTATTTTGTGACTCTCAACTCTGGGCCTCCTGTATAGTGAGTGAGCCCCCCAGTTCAACAGTGAGCCACACCTAAGCTTCATTAGCCCTACTGAATTTACTTTTGGATAGGAGTCTGAGACAGCCACCTAGAGCGGTCTCCTTGCCTTTGTTGGGCAGTATATTGCAAATAGCAGGGTGAACTGAGAGGTCAGATCCTGAAATGGCCTGAGTGAGGAATGTCCCCTACAGGCCAGGTATTTGAACACTTAGTCCCCAGCTAGTGATACCGTTTGGCAAGGTTGTGGAACCTTGAGGGGGTAGAACCTTGTCAGAGGAAGTGAGTCTCTGGGGGTGGGCCTTGAGGCTTCATAGCCTGGCTACTCCCTGTTCACTCTGTGCTTCCTGAGTAATGTGATCAGCCAGTCTCCTGCCTCAGCCACCATGCTTTCCCTGCCTACTGCCATGCCTTCCCCACAGTGCTGAATAGTCTCTCTCTGGAACCCTAGTTACTTTTGTCCAGATATATATATATATATATTTTAATCACAGCATTAGGAGACAAAAATTAAGCCATGTCCCTCGTCTTCAGGGGGAGGGGGTTAAGGGAGAAATGGGTCTTTGTTGAAGTATGTCCCAGCCCCAGGTGAGAAAGCGTTTGTCATTGCTTCTGAGCCACAGATGGGAAAACAGTCACAAGAAAGGCTGACTTGCTTTTATAAAAGTTAAAAAGAATAGATTCAGTAATTTTTTTTTTTTTTTTTTTTTTTTTTTTGTGCTTTTCGAGACAGGGTTTCTCTATATAGCCTTGGCTGTTCTGGACTCACTTTGTAGACCAGGCTGCCTTGAACTCACAGCAATCCGCCTGCCTCTGCCTCCCAGAGTGCTGGGAATACAGGCATGTGCCACCATGCCTGGCTAGATTCAGTATTCTTAAGAATTGTCTAGAACATGAAAAGCGGCTTTAAAGAGCATCTGAGGTCTATGGCAGCTGATTGGACAGCCTGTAGAGGAGTAGCATAGGGGGGATGAGGTCCAGGCCTCTGCAGAGCTGCACAGGGTGGAGACATGGAGACAGGGTTCTTAGTGTGCTAAGAACAGCATCTCTGGGTCCTGAGCCTTCTGGGCACTTAGAGTTTTGTGAGGCCAAGAAGAGACTTTGTTTTTTCTTTAGCACTTACTCCAGGAGTCAAGGGTAGTTGACTCAGGAGCAGCAACTGCCGGAGTTTAAGCCAGTAAGTAAGACACCAGTGAAGGGTCCCTGTGGGACTGGAGCCTCTCCCCCAGCTTCAGCTGGAGGAGTCTTCCACTGACACCTCTTGGACCTTTCATCCCACAACTAGAAACTTCTTGGGCTTCTGGGTGGTGGCATGTGAAGTGATTGTACACTCAGGTTTGCTCCTTGGTCCATTTTCTCTGCATCACATGGGGAACATATTTTTTATTGGTGTCATTCAAGAATCATGAGTAGCCAGGTGTGCCTTTAATCCCAGCACTTGGGAGGCAGAGGCAAGTGAGTTTGAGGCCAGCCTGGTCTACAAACCAGGACGCCCAAGGCTACAGAGAAACCCTGTCTCAAAAGAAAATAATCATGGAAATTCATGAAAACTGACTGAACATCCTTCCTCCTGCATGGATAACATAGGTAGTTATTGTAGCTAGCCAGAGATTGAAACAGCAGAGTGAAAACAGGACAAAGTTAAAGTATATAAATGCAGGTTTATGGAAGCAACTCTTGGCCGCCATTCAGGGAGAGTGTGAGGGGGTGGGGGAGGAGAAAGGAAACAAAGAAAGAAGGAAGAGAGAGTGAGTGAGAGAAGAGAAAGAGGGGAACCCAAATGTCTGGATGATATTGTGAAGAGGGGGATGCTCCTGCCCCTAGGCTGGAAAGTTTGGGGTAGGGGTGAGGTATGCCAGCCACAGCCTGCAGCAGGTGGGGGGACCTGAGAGGCCAGGTCCACTTTGGTGTGGTGTAAACCCTAACAGCCAGCTGATTAGAATGGGCCAATAGCTCACAAAAGCATCCGAAATTTGTGTTTCTGTCTTTCCCAACCGTGAGGCAGACCTCAGGTGAGTGTATTCCTTTTCCTGTTTGATTGACAAGCACAAATGCTGTATCTACATCAGACTCAAAACACAGCCATTAAGGAGGACTTGGTGTGTGGTTTTGCTGGGCAAATACAGGCTCTATGTGGTCCTGTCTAATTTGCTACCCTCTGAAGGCTTAAGGGGAATAGAGGGAGGTCTTTGTCTTATAGCAGAGCATGGTTAATCAGGACTGGGAATGTAGCTCCATTTAGTAGAATGCCTGACACACAGGGAGCTCTGGGTTTAGTCCCCAGTGTGGGGCACTAATGATTGATGTGGTAGGGCGCAGCTCCTGAGCAGGTGGTCCTGGCTGTATAAAAAAGCAGGCCAAGCGAGCCACCAGGAGCAAGGTAGTAAGCAGTGTTCTTCCATACTCTGCTCTGGAGGCTTCTGGCTCCAGGCTTCTGCCCTGGCTGCTCTCAGTGATGGAGTGTGACCTGGTTGTTTTTATGACATAAGCCCTTACCTCCCCAGATTGCTTTTGGTCATGGTGTTTGCGACAGCAAACTGAGGCAGAAGGCACTCACTCCACAGGGTAGATTCTGTAAGGTTAGGTTTGATAAATGGCCAAAGAGTTTATAAAAAAAAACAAACAAGCAAGCCACATTTCCTGAAATGTTGGGCTTTTGTTGTATGGAGTTAGACTCAGAAGAGCAGTTTAACCAGAGGCTATCCCGTTTTGTCAGTAGCAAGAACTGTGGTACTGGGGTCCATAGTACCCTAACGGTTCCCCATGGATACAAATGCATGGCAATTTCATGATGCAGTGTGGGAAATGTTTCCAGATCACAGATGGTGCTCAGGGGATAGGCTCAGTAGCCCTTCCTGGAGAAGTCACCAGAGCCCTCAGTGGTGGGTTCCCTCCCTGCTGCAGACTGCAGCTGGTCTAGGCTCAGCTCTCAGCCATGAGGGACCAGGGTCTGCCTACTTTGAACCTGAAGGAGAGTCATTGCACACAGGTAAGCTTGACAGGTCGCCATCTCCCATCATGTTGGTTTAAAATTGCAGTTGTGCCTTGTGCATCATCATTCTAA